GTTTCAATTCAGAGTGTGCATCTCGCAATTGCACAATCTTTTCTTTGAACTTGATATCTGGGTTGGCTTCCTCGTGCCAATCCATTCCCAGAATGAAGTCAAACGGTAAATTCTTTTTGACAAGCAAGGATACCTCGTGTAGAATCTTCTTCCCTTCCTTGGTACGAAATCGACATTTGACACGATCAACACATTGCGAGATAGTGATCGTGCGTCTGTCAGCGAGAATAGATACTTAATTAACGATAATAAATTCCACGACCGCACTGATCGACCACAACAAGATTTCAAAGAACCGAAGAAAAAGAATCAGATACAATTATTTATATTTCTAACTATTGTTGTTCTTTGTCTGTCTGTGTGATGACGTCCTAAACAAGAGTTTACAGGTACCACTTCAGGCCCATGTGATCAGATAAACACACAAGTACGCACAACACCACAACACAACAAACGACAAGGTAAGTATGCCAACAATCAACAACAAACAATTTGCCAGCACCCTTCTTCCTTCTGCTGAGTCAATCCAGGTGTCAATGCGATGTTGCACCCCTCGTGACAGCTGGCACTATAGCTGTCTCATCAAACATTCAATCAGCCGTATCGCCGTCGTCTTCGGAGTGCTGCTCTTACTTGGCAGCCACCTGCCTGCCACGTGTCATCCCTGGCGTGCCAACACAACAGACTCTGCCATGTCAGCACATAATCAACCAGGGGTGGGGATGCCACGTCAGCAAGTGTGCGTTCTGTCCTTTTCACTTGCCACTTCGTCACGTCTTGGGGCGATACCGCCGCTATACCAGCCAATCGAGTCGATGCCGCGTCAGCCAATGAAGCCAATGCCATGTCAGCAGGTGATCACCACACCAAGAAGACTAGTATGATGATCCTTCCCCGCCACGTCAGCAATCAGCGTCATTATCCAAAGGCCACGTCAAAACCTGTTTGCGACCTGGTCGCATGTCAGCAACCTATGCAGCGTGCAATCACCACATCAGCAGCCAGGTCCCTGGACGTGGCACATAGTATGCCACATCAGCATGGGATCGCGACCTCTCTATCGCGATCCAGGCTGGCACACGGTCACTCCTGGTCGGGATCCCGACTGCCACGTTAGCAACCTCGTAGGGATGTCCTCTGGCCAGCGAAGTCTGTACCTCGTCAGCAACCTCGACAGTGTCTTCTCGCCAGTGAAGTTTGTGCCACGTCAGCATTCCCGGCGTATCTCTTGCCACGTCATCACCTATTCAGCACGCGTGCTCTACACTTACCTGCGCGCCACCTGGCACATGCACACGTGTACAATCGTCGTCATCAGGAGAACTGCTCCGATACCAAATTGCAATGAACCCCAATCGTGAAGACTGTCGTCACCAATGCAAGCCCAGATAAATGTCAACCAGCTGATGATTACCAATAGTCAAAATCATATCCAGACAGCATGAGATGAGATAATCATACACAGATGAAGAGAGAGGAGGGAGATTAGACAAAGGAGAGGAATAATACAAGGTCCACTCCTGCTTCGGGCTCCCTCCTCGATCACCACCTCAATAGTCAATAGTCTGAACGAACATCTGAAGTAACCTCAATGTGCCACGAGGCACGTCTAATTAGTCTCTCATCAGCGCTGGAGCAATGTTGACATGAAGACCATCAGGTACGTATCCACGATCTCTCCACAGTCCTCATCTCCTCCTGAAGTGACGATGAAATAGAACAGCAATGTCGATCACGTAGTCCCAACCATAGAACACGTGGCAGCAGCCACCTCAAAAAGTGATACACGTGGCACCAGCCACATCAGCAATAGCGCATGGCAGCTGCCACGTCAGCATGCCAAGAAGACAGTAGCCAGCCAGTCACCATGCCGAGCTAGCAGCGTGTCACCGCAAATCTCCCAAATGCCAGCACAAAGCCAGTGTCCACCAGCGTCGCAGCGTCGAGCCAGCGTCGCGTCGTCAACGTGTGAAGTCAGCATTGATGCAAGACAGAATGAATGTCAAAGCCAGGAAGTCAGCGCTTATGTAGCGTTGACACCGGGTCTGGACCCCGGATGCTGCATCCCTCAACCGTCCAGATCTCAATGCAAACGAGGGCCCAGATTGGTCTGAAACCGAATTCCCTCCGGCCTGGATGCTGTCTGGGTACCTGCGCACAACAAGTGAGTGTATCCAACCAAGGGCCTGCGTGCTGTACCTTTGACTCTACAGTTGACTTTGACCCTTGAATTTCCTGTGTGCAGCGTTCAGTCACACAGCCATTCGCGACAGACTCAGGCCTGGGCGTGTCTTGGTCACACAGCCCAGCGCAGACCATCTCAGGTCTGCGTTGCCTGGGGCTGAGTTCTAGACCCCAGGCTACTTCTGAACAGGGTTACTGCACTATTAGCAGAACAAAAAATAAAAATCGCAGAAGTTGGGTGGGGTTCATTAATTTGGGAACACCTCCCATTTTATCATTCTTTTCTTTGTTTTGTTTTTTTTTCCCTTCCTCGGTTGGTTATGAATCTGTTAATCAATTAATCAATCAATCAATCAAACTTGTTGATTGATTGATCGATTGATTGCCTGGTCTGTCACCAAGAAGTGCTGCAAGCCGAGTTGTGGAAGAAGGATTTGGACTGCCTATCGAACGAATCCACCTGTTTGAACGTGTGTGTGTGTTTTAACTTTCCACCACAACAGCCCCTATTCCACCCAGACGAGTAGATTCGAGTTGAGATAGCCCAACAATTAAACAATTTCACCTCTTTAGCAAGCAACATGAATCATAATAGAACCATTCAGAGCTGTGCTGCTGGGGTTTCTTCGGGGCAACAGCTCCTCTTTTACTATGCCTCACACGTACAAGGCTGCCGACCTTGAATGTGGTTTAGCGGCAGCTGCCCACATCCTTATGTGCCTTAACGGCCAAAAATTAAAAATCGCAGAAGTTGGGGGGGGGTTCATTAATTTGGGAACACCTCCCATTTTATCGTTCTTTTCTTTGTTTTTTTTTCCCCCCTTCCTCGGTTGGTTATGAATCTGTTAATCAACCAATCAATCAATCAATCAATCAACCAAACTTGTTGATTGATTGATCGATTGATTGCCTGTTCTGTCACCAAGAAGTGCTCCGGGCCACCACAACAGCCCCTATTCCACCCAGAGCAGTAGATTCGAGTTGAGATAGCCCAACAATTAAACAATTTCACCTCTCTAGCAAGCAACATGAATCGTAATAGAACCATTCAGAACTGTGCTGCTGGGGTTTCTTTGGGGCAACAGCTCCTCTTTTACTATGCCTCGCACGTACAAGGCTGCCCACCTTGATTGTGGTTTAGCGGCAGCTGCCCACATCCCCATGTGCCTTAACGGCCAAAAATTAAAAATCGCAGAAGTTGGGGGGGTTTCATTAATTTGGGAACACCTCCCATTTTATCGTTCTTTTCTTTGGTTTTTGTTTTTTTCCTTCCTCGGTTGGTTATGAATCTGTTAATCAACCAATCAATCAATCAATCAAACTTGTTGATTGATTGACCGATTGATTGCCTGGGCTGTCACCAAGAAGTGCTGCGGGCCACCGCAACGGCCCGTATTCCACCCAGACCAGTAGATTCGAGTTGAGATAGCCCAACGATTAAACAATTTCACCTCTTTAGCAAGCAACATGAATCATAATAGAACCATTCAGAACTGTGCTGCTGGGGTTTCTTTGGGGCAACAGCTCCTCTTTTACTATGCCTCGCACGTACAAGGCTGCCCACCTTGATTGTGGTTTAGCGGCAGCTGCCCACATCCCCATGTGCCTTAACGACCCACTTGCACATTATACCAGGAGGCAGAGTAATGGGGAAGGTATGATCCTGTGCATTTCACTTCAGATCTTCATACTCCAGTTCATTTCACTTCAGATCTTCAGCTTATACTTAGTCGTAGGTGTATGACCAACACCGCATGTGGGACATGCTAGGAGAGGATGTGGCGGATTGACGACCCATGGCATGTTGCTGACATGTCATCACTATGGAAGGCTGACGTGCGCAGTTATTTAAACATAACAGATCAAGGCCACAACCGCATGCTGGGCAAGTAATCAGGGGGGGGGGGGGACGAGCACAGTTTTCGTGGGAGTGGCTAGCAGCGACCATCCCTTCATAGTGTTAGGAGCAGAGGCTTTGCCATGTATACGCCAACCGAACTGTACCAGTGCAACAACAGAATGGGAGGGCAAAGCAACCATCCTCTGGAGAGGTCCCTTCACTGTTTGCGGTAGAATCAGCTGGATTTCTCTCCAAGGGGTGCAGTGCTTGCAAGCGCTCATCGACATACTGTTCCTCATGGACAAGCCAGACCGAGTGATCTTCCACCGCTTGGTGATAGAAAGAGTTAACATTTCCCACTGTGTGCACCCTACCGCCATGGTCCCATAGGATCCATGGATTATCCGCAAAGGTAAGAGCACTGAAATGACCTGGACGATGTAAGATATATGCCCGAATATTCGGATTCATGCATCGCACGTGGTTTTGTGGAGCACACTGGAATTATAGTCGCCTACCTGTAAATGCCATAGCCAGGACCTTTATGTTCACACCAGGTGGAGTATACACACACACACACACACACGCACACACACACACAGCGCAGGAACTTGCCAGGAATGAGGTTGAGGTGGGGGGGGGCACATTTGCATTTGGCGGAGTATTCGCCGCCGCCCATGTATTTTTTTTACCTTTTTCTGATTATCTATGATGGAGTCCACATCTCCTGCCACTACCCCCACAAAAAAAACATTAAAGAAAAAACAAAGGATCAACGTCGGCCGCACGTTTGCTGGGGGGCTCTGAACCTCCGGCTGTTCAGGCCGTCATGTTCAGCCCGGGCGGGAAGCGGGTAACCCTGTACTGACTAGTGTTTTTCAACATTCTCTTTCAACAATAGCCTCAGGGCAAGGAAACTTGCACATACGGCTCTTATGGTGATAGTCCAGTATATTAACGACCCGTAATTTCTTACCTGCAGTACCACGCAACTGAAAGTTGACAATTTGCACTCCTGGATCAGTCAAGGGCACAGACATCAGCGCTGAAATTGTAACTCCTGTTGTCGGATCGCCCAGGCCAATAACAATAGATGAGCTCATCAGAGCAGCACGGATGTCCCGCCGAGATGCCATGCGCCTGAAGAAACAAATTTCCAGCATGGTTACAAATTAGTTTTCGAGCAAACTTCAGATCGTATGAAAGAATAAACTGAAACAATTCAAAGTGGAACAGAAGGCATTTTTGAAGGGATGGCTGCTACCATCTTCACCCGAATAGAACGGCCAGTCATTCTCGCTGTATCTAGACTGAAAGATGCCCCACATATGGCTGTAATGACAGGGCGTTCTATTCGGGTAAAGACGGCAGGATGCAAAATTGCAGAGATATTGGAAGATTGGCTCATATGGCGGGCAGCGTTGGCACCATATACACAAGGGCAGAATAACTTCCAGGGGGCTACTTTCCTGGCAGCATATGGACAGGAAGAGCAACCTCCATGGGATGCAAGACAGAAACAGGGAAACCAATGAGCCCCAAACAAGCCCAGGCCTTCGATGGTTCTGAATTCTCAAGTCAATCTGACAGACTTTGCAGAATACTACGAGCAATCAAACAAGGAAAAGGGTCCTTCGACCCCAACGGACCTAGCTCCGTTGGTACACCAATGAACTGTCGAAATAAAGACCCAAATTCGAATCCAGGTGCGCTCAAATAATTCTGAATTACCTGGGGCTGGTCAGTTGAATGGTGATATGATATCTCAAGGCCGTCACCCTTTCGAAAAGGAAAAAAAGGGGAGGGGAAAAAAAGGAAGCATGGGCCCTTCAGCGTCAGTGTAGGGAAGTGTGGGGTGTCTCATGGGATGTATTTCCTGAGATAATAAATTGAGGGAATTATTGAAGAGGTAGTAAAGGAGTCATACTGATGCTCCCCAGAATTGATATGAAGACGGGTCCATAAGGATGTGTGTAGGCTGGCCCATGTTGGTATTCTTTTGATTCCTTCATGGAGGCTTGCAAAAGTCAGTGCTGCTTCTTCGGAGCCTCTACCAAAGCTGAAAATCACGTCTGCAGTGAAGAAATTGCGACGGCCTTGAGATATCGCCATTGACCTGAGCCCCCCCATGTAATTCAGAAATATTGTTTCATTCAGCTAGTTCCATCACATGGATGCGAACTTGGGTCTGTACTTCAACAATTAGAGGGGTGTAACCAACTGAGCTAGGCTCGTTGGTAAAGTGGCACATATCTATCAACAAAAAGAGCGCACTATATGAAATGAACGAAAGAAATAGCAGTCATGATGAGACATGCTGAAACTGCAGTTCTTCATTTTTTTTCTTTCTTTTGGTCTTCTGTGCGGTCTCTCTTTTATTTCTTCTTTTAGCCCTCCCTTCTCTGTGCATATGTGTATATTGAGGAGAGGAGTTGGAGAGAATGCTCATGCATGGTTTGCGAGCGAGGATCTGGAAAAGAGAACACTCATACCATCCCACTTTGGAGCAGATATGCTCATGACATCCAGTTTGCAACTTACCTAATGAGGAAATCTTCAGCGGTTTGAGGCTGAATCTTATGCCAAGTCCCTAGATGACAGTTCAATGGAACTCCTGTGTGGTTCTGCACCTGTGAGCACAAACAAACAGCAAAAAAGTCATTACCAGCATTCACAAATCTGTCTTTAAGGAGCCAGGAGTACAAGACTTGAATGGTGTACTTCCCTCGGGCAAAATGCACTCCTCAGATGCTCAAACAACAAAATTCTACAGATGGTTCCTTTCTCATCCATTGGCACTCTCTCTGTGGCGAACTCCCAGGTAAGGGGCTTGGCCACAGCATGACTAAGGATTTTCAGCGTTTCATAAAATGTACAACTGCTAAGAACATATACGGCACTTGGCCAAAACATTGAAACCATACATGCGGCGCATCGCGATGCGCTGCACTGCGCACGTGCGCCGCACCGCGCATCCCGCACGACGCGCGCGCACTGCATGCGGCGCACCTCCAAAAATGGGGGTCAAAAAAAAAAAAAAAAGTTGTGAGGGGCGGTAGTAGACCCGGCCCCCTGCTCGCGTAAAATAAGAAACGGCAGCCAAATTTTTTTTGGAGGCTGCACGTTGGCCTGAAAGCTTTTAGTAACCTGTAGTTCGGGTGACACTGTGTGTGTGGTAGGGTTATTGCAGTCTGTATGGTAGGGTTCTTGCAGGCCAGATTCAGTCATCTTGAGGGTCGCGATTTCTCAAAACGTTCTCTTCTTATTACTTCGGAAGTAGAAAACGACGGAACTGACAGCCGTTTTTCCTGGAATATTTTTTTTTTTTTTTTTATAAGGAAGAAAATCAGAATTTCTGTGCACGAGTGTCGCCCGGCACGTCCAACCTGTCAGAACCTCAACGGTAATTGCAGTCTGTATGGTAGGGTTCTTGCAGGCCAGATTCAGTCATGATGAGGGTCGCGATCTCTCAAAACATTCTCTTCGTATTATTTCTGAAGTAGAAAACGACGGAACTGGCAGCCGTTTTTCCTGGATTTTTTTTTTTTTAATAAAAGGAAAAAAACGCAAAGGAAGAACAGCTCTTTGCACGAGTGAAGCCCGGCGCGTCCAACCTGTCAGAACCTCAACGGTAATGTTTACCAACGGGCTCGCTGCACTACTCTCGACATGCACAACAAGACATATATGGCAATGTATCTTTCCATGTTCAAGCGGAGGATTCAGTGTCATTTGTTCAGAGATTCTCCAAAAAAAAAAAAAGAAAGGTTCCAGAGATACGTTACGTGCTTAC